ATTTTGGGAAAAAAATTTTGGGAAAAAAAATTTGGTCTAAAAAATTTTTGGAAAAAAATATTGATCAAATAAAATTTTGGTCAAATTTTCGGAAAAAAATTTTGGAAAAAAAAATTCTGGTCAAAAAAAATTTGGGAAAAAAATTTTTGTTCAAAAAATTTAGGTTAAGAAAATTTTGGGAAAAAAAATTTTGGTCAAAAAATTTTTGGTTAAAAAAATCTTGGGTAAAAAAATTTGGTCTAAAAAATTTTTGGAAAAAAATTTTCGTCAAAAAAATTTTTGGTCAATAAAATTTTGGTCAAAAAAAATTTGGAGAAAAATTTCTGGTCCAAAAAAATTTTGGTCATAAAAATTTGGGTCAAAAAGATTTGGGTCAAAAAAATTTTGGTCAAAAAAATTTGGGTCAAAAAAATTTTCATTCCTATTAATATAAATTGACATTCCTATTCTCAGACATTCCGATAATCCGACATTCCTATACTCCGACATTCCGATACTACGACACTCCGATATTCCGATACTCCGATACTCCGACACTCCGATACTCCGACATTCCTATACTCCAACACTCCAATACTCCGACACTTCCGATACTCCGACATTCCGATAATCCGACATTTCGATAATCCGACATTCCGATACTCCGACATTCCGATACTCCGACACTCCGATACTCCGTTACTCCGACATTCCGATAATCCGACATTCCGATAAGCCGACATTTCGACACTTTGATATTCCGACATTCTGATACTCCGACATTCTGATACTAAAAAAATTTTGGTCAAAAATTTTTGGAAAAAAATTTGGGCAAAAAAATTTTGGGAAAAAAATTTTGGTCAAAAAAATTTTTGGGCAAAAATTTTTGGTCAAAAAAATTTTGGGAAAAAAATTTTTGGTCAAAAAAATTTTTCTGCTTCTGGCAGAAGCAATTGATTGCTCATTTGAACAAAATGAAACCCAACAAAAAGTTTACTGAGTTGACACTCAGTACATTGTACCAAGTGCAATGAAAAAACTGCTAAAAAACTTTGGGAAAACAAATTTTGGTCCAAAAAATTTTGGTCAAAAAAATTTTGGTCAAAATAATTTTGGTCAAAAAACTTTTGGACTAAAAAAATATTCGGTCAAAAAAATTTTGGCCAAAAAAATTTTAGTCAAAAAAATTTTGGCCAAAAAAAGTTTAGTCAAAACAATTTTGGTCAAAAAAATTTTGGTCAAAAAAATTTTTGGTCAAAAAAATTTTGGTCCAAAAAATTTTCGGAAAAAAATTTTTGGTGAAAAAAATTTCTGGTCAAAAAATTTCTGGTCAAAAAAATTTTGGGCAAAAAATTTTTGTGAAAAAAATTTTTGTGAAAAAAATTTTTGGGAAAAAAACATTTTGGGAAAAAAAATTTGGTCAAAAAAATTTTGGTCAAAAAAATTTGGGTCAAAAAAATTTTCGGAATAAAATTTTGGGAAAAAATTTTCGTTACACAATTTTGGGAAAAAAAATTTGGTCAAAAAAATTTTGTACAAAAAAATTTGATCAAAAAAATTTTGGACAAAAGAAATTTGAACAAAAAAAATTTAATCAAAAAAAAATTTTGGTCTAAAAAATTTTTGGAAAAAAATTTTCGTCAAAAAAATTTTGGTCAAAAAAATTTTGGGAAAAAAATTTTGGGAAAAAAAATTTGGTCTAAAAAATTTTTGGAAAAAAATATTGATCAAAAAAATTGTTGGTCAAATTTTCGGAAAAAAATTTTGGAAAAAAAAATTTCTGGTCAAAAAAATTTTGGTCAAAAAATTTTTGGAAAAAATATTTTGGGAAAAAAAATGTTGGTCAAAAAAAATTTGAGAAAAAAATTTTTGGTCAAAAAATTTTGGTTAAGAAAATTTTGGGAAAAAAAATTTTGGTTAAAAAAATCTTGGGTAAAAAAATTTGGTCTAAAAAATTTTTAGAAAAAAATTTTCGTCAAAAAAATTTTTGGTCAAAAAAAATTTGGTCAAAAAAATTTTGGAAAAAAAATTTCTGGCCAAAAAAATTTTTGGGAAAAAAAATTTTGGTCCAAAAAAATTTGGGGAAAAAAATTTTGGTCAAAAAATTTTGGTTAAGAAAATTTTGGGAAAAAAAATTTTGGTCAAAAAAATTTTTGATCAAAAAAATCTTGAGAAAAAAAATCTTGAGAAAAAAAATTTGGTCTAAAAAATTTTTGGAAAAAAATTTTCGTCAAAAAAATTTTTGGTCAAAAAAATTTTGGTCCAAAAAATTTTAAGAAAACAAATTTTGGTCAAAAAAATTTTTGGAAAAAATTTTTGGGCAAAAAACTTTTGGTCAAAAAAATTTTTGGAAAAAAATTTCGGGCAAAAAAATGTTGGTCAAAAAATATTTGGAAAAAAAAATTTTGGATCAAAACAATTTTGGGAAAAAAATTGGTCAAAAAAATTTTTGAAAAAAAATTTTTGGTCAAAAAAATTTGGGTCAAAAAAATTAGGTCAAAAAAATTTTGGGAAAAAAAATTTGTGGTCAAAAAAATTTTGGTCAAAAAAATTTTTCTGCTCCTGGCAGAAGCAGTTGATTACTCATTTGAACAAAATGAAACCCAACAAAAAGTTGAGTTGACACTCAGTACATTGTATCAAGTGCAATGAAAAACAGACAGACAGATAGAAATAAAAATTTATTCATTATATTGTTACATACATTGAATTAAATGTGGGTTTTTCTACCCTTAGGTATTTTACCCGAAAATTGTTTTAGTTTTACAACATATATATTTGTACAATATTTTATATATTATTACACAAGAACAAAAAAAAGACGATTTTTGTCTCCTGAAAAAAAATATCCTATTGCCAGTGGTGTATTGCTTATGCATTTACTGCGGGTTCGATCAGGTAGTTTGACATGGCATAATTCCCATACCAGATCATTTCTGATGTGTACTGGCCTAACGCGCGGATGGTACTGTTATCGTGATCCCTACACTTTCGGTAAAAATTCTCAGTGAGCTTCTTGATGTGTTCTAGTATGGTCGGTATGTCCGTCTGTTCGTGTAAATATTTCGTTGAATAGTAGTGTCTCGTCAGTGGGTCCCTTTATTTGTCTAGTACCAGTCTCAGTGCTTTGTTCTGTGCTATTTGTAGTCTCCGTCTGTTGGTCTCGGTTGTCGCGTTCCATGCCGGAGCGGCGTATGTCAGTAACGATAACGTTATGAGTGTTAAGTAAAGTGTCCGCTTGTTCTTCACGTTTAGCGGGCTGTTGTGGTTCAAAAGAGGTCTCAGTAGATTCATCATCCCGTAAGCCTGTCCAATTTTTGTATTCGTATGTTTTGTGAAGCTGAGTCTATAGTCCAAGGTTACGCCAAGGTATTTGATTTCCTTGGACCACTCAGCTTCATGGCCCATTACCTTTAGTTTCGTCAAGTCAGTAAGTGTAATGGACCAACGGCTTTTTGTAAAGAAAATTGCTTCTGTTTTACCAGGATTAATTTTAATTTGCCATTTTCCGTGTAATCTGTCAAGGCGTCTATATGTCTTTGTATTTTTGTAGTCAGTAGCGTAGGTGATGATCTGTAAATGGCAGTGTCGTCAGCAAATGTCAACAGTGTTGTGTCGGCGTCAGTGGGCATGTCGTGGATGTAGACGTTAAACAAGGACGGTCCCAGGATCGAGCCCTGCGGTACTCCCGCCGTCACTTGTTTAAGGGTGTGTTGTCTACTTGTACTGTAAAATTACGGTATGTGAGGTAAGAATGGAGTAGTTTTGTGATGTGTGGTGGAAAGTTAAGTGTTATGAATTTATGTATCAGTCCGTCCATCCAGATGGTGTCGAAGGCCTTCTCGAAATCGAGCAGCACCAATCCGGTATGGTTTCGTCGGTTGTTGAGTACAGTGTTTTCCATTAGTTGTGTGAGTGGATGTAACGTAGAGTGCTGTTCCTTAAAGCCGTACTGTGTGTCTGGTATAACTTTGTTTCGTCTGATGTGTCTGTTGATGCGTTTCAGCAGTATTTTTTCAGTTACTTTGCTCATTGTATTGAGGAGGCTGATTGGTCTGTAATTTTGCGGAGAGTCTGGCTGTTTGTAAACAACGATGATCAATTAGCTTAGACGCATGCAGTCATTCTATATTTTAGAGAATGTTCTATTGAGAAATGCATACGAATTACGGACGCGACATCTGTCGCATATATAGTAAACTTTCAGCAATAAGGTGCAGTTCGAACATATATTACTTGTAACATATATATATATATATATATATATATATATATATATAAATTTTTAAAAACTTGTATTTCTCATGTACAACATTTTGTAAGTAGTAAAAGCTTAAAATACACTTCACTAATTAATTTTTAACAGTATCTTTTGATAAGATTTGACAGATAACTATTATTAGCAAAAGAAATTGATTAAGCATTAATGTAAGGAGCAAAATTGTATAGGTAAATTTCTTTCTCATTTGTGGAGTTAATAAATGTTTTCTATACAATTTACATATATTATAATTTCAAATATTATTTTTATTATAGCTTAATAAAACGCAGTATTGATTAATAGAAAAATGTTATCTTAATTTTTTATGGTTTATTCTGACTAGTCTGTTATGAGAAACTTTATCAAAAAACAACAAACCGGCAGGTTTTTCAATAGACTCTGAAGGCACCTGAAAAAAAAAATTATATTGATTATATTTACTTAATATTTTATGCCAAAAATATATGCCTCTTATACTAAAAAATATAAGTTTTGAATAAAACTGATAGCCAAACGGATTTGAAAAATTTGTACTCCCTAAGCTTGCTTATTATAAATGAGTGTATATCAAAACATTGGTGTCTAAATCTTTATTCTAATATTTTAAAATAAATTTAAATAATATTTAAAATAAAGAAATTAAAATACCTGAAACGATTCTAACGGTAATTTATCATCTATTGCGGCATTAGGTATAACATATGCCTGCAATTCAAAATTACTATCAGCTGTCTCACAAACTACAACTTCATAAAAATGTGTAAGTCACAGCAACAGAATTTGCACCTATAACTTCATATTTAATATAGGTTTTTCTATCAGCTTCCTTTCTAGAGAGATTTATTTGGCATAAATCAGCAACATGTTCTAGAATAAATACATACATCTTACATAATAAACATTTACATCTTACATAATAAATATTAATAAATTATATATGGTAGATTATTATATATTAATAAATATTATAAATTATGGTAGTAGTATCATTTTAAAAATATCAAACGTTTTTTGCAGTCTTATGTTTATGCAAAATATGTTTGCATACTTTTTAACAAAAAAAAAACTAGTTGGTATTGGTATTTTGCCTCAAAGCAAGTTACATAAACTTCCCGACATGCGTAAATAATCGACTTAATCAATAAAAAATAAATTAATTGATGAGTGATTAAAAGTATTCTGAGTGGATTTATTGCACAAAATTAAAAACGAACGAACATGTTAACTCGAGGTACATTCTAAAAGTAAATTTTTACGGCTCGGTAGACTTTCACCTAAAACAGTGTTTGATTTTTTCGATTTGGTAGTATGAGTTAAGCTCATGTGGACGGAAAGTTTAACACTGTTTTTCAAATTTCAAAAAAAAAAAAAAAAACGGCTTGGTAGATCGTCGCACAAAACTGACAAACGATAGTCCTCATTGAGATACATCAAATAGCTTTTAAATTTCTGAAATCGGTTCAGGCGTTTTTACACACATACTTTTTCCTTAAATTTGGTCTCATTCGATTCAGAATGGCTTGAAACGTCGAGAAAACATAAAATTAGCGAATCGGATTTTTAGCAAATTCTTTATGTTCTTCATTTATATAAACATCAATTAAAAATTATAAGAAGCTATATCCGAAAACAATCAATTTTAAAATTGATTTAAAATTTTTTAATAAAGGATGGATGAAAAATTTTGCACTTTCTGTATTTTATAAAGAAACGGCTTGGCCGGTCGCCATGAAACTATAATGCGTGTGAGTTACATCTATTGGAATTCAGCTCACAAATGCACACACATACTTTTTCCAAATTTTTCGTTACAGTTAAAATTAAATTTTTATGTTGTTTCCACATATTGATCTAGAGTCTAGATTTAAGATCTAGAAAATATGCTTAAAATTAAATACACTGTGATTTATACCACTCCATTACAGTTTTCACACGTATGTGAATTCGCGATATTGTTAATATAATTAAAATATAATACTACAATAAATCTGAAATTGAATCTACAGGTCAAATTTCAGGTTTATTGTAATTTTTTATTATAAATTAAATCGCAATTTTCAAAAGTAATATCTGAATAAATAATATTCTTATTAAATGAAAAATTATTAAAAAATACTGATTTGATTTTTAACTTTAAAACATTACTTTATAATTATAAGTTTATTCCATCTATCAATAAGTCTATTATAATTTTATTTTTTAAAACATAATTATTTATTGTACTGAAGTAAATTGTACAAATAATAAAAATTGAATATTTTATAGACCAATTAACTTAAAATTATATCAATAAGCATTAAAAAAAATTGAACTCACTTTGGAAGATATAGTGGCCCTGTACAACAATATACATTAGAATAACGGTTTATCAGTTTTCTCACATAGTACAGTGGCGATTTATTGAAGTCATAATTAATGTATTTTTTGAATATAAGCAAACTCAGACCAACTTCGATATTTACCCGAAAAATTTGTCAATGGTCCCCCATTGCGAGAATTGTCGATTTTGTCAGATTGCTATAAAATAAAAACTAGTAGTCGGAGGGGTCTAAAAATTCAGTGGCGATTTATTAAAATCATAATTAATGTCCTTTTAAAATATAAGTCGAATCAGAGCAACTTCGATTTTTACCCAAAAAATTTGTCAATGGTCCCCCCCATTGCAAAAATTGTCGATTTTGTCAGATTGCTATAAAATAAAAACTAGTATTCGGAGGAGTCTAAAAATTCAGTGACGATTCATTAAAGTCATAATATATGTACTTTTTGAATATAAGTCGAATCAGAGCAACTTCGATTTTTACCCAAAACATTTGTCAATGGTGAGAATTGTCGATTTTGTCAGATTGCTATAAAATAAAAATTAGTAGTCGGAGGGGTCTAGAAATTCAGTGGCGATTTATTAATAAAGTTGTATTTGACAAAATCTTTATATAGTTTCTGTGTATGAGTGTTTTTTAAACAATACATTCACTCATTTGATGATCATGATGAGAACACTAAAACTTCCATAAAAGATAAAAAACTTTGCAGACTTTTTGTACAGTTTCAAAGCAAGAATTTTGTCTTTCTCTGTGAAATTTATAATTTTTTCTTTGCAAATTGTATTTAGAATTAATATTACTTGGCCTTTTCACTGAATTTGCACACTGTTGTGGTTTAGTATTAAATTGTTTTGTTTACCGTCTATCAGAATTATCGCCTGATCCGGATGTTTTCCTAGTCGTGACAGTGTGGGAAGAGAACTCTTTCATGATTTTCGTAAAGGAGATTTGTTTAATTCACTCACTTCTATAAAGCTCGAAGAAGCCTAAACAAGAAGCATATTATTATATAAATTATTACAAAGAAGACCAAAACTTAAGACCAAATATCTAAGCAACTTGTATTTAATTACCTGAGGAATGATTACACTCCTTCGACAATCTGTCACTGCCTCATCATTTTTACGAATTGTCATTGACACACCAAGTTCTGAAATAATAATTATTAAAATACATAATAAAATATATTGACTAATATTGACCAATATTTACCCATATTGACCAATAATGATCAATATTGACCAATATTGTCCCATATTGACCCATATTGACCAAAATTGACCAATATTGACCAATGTTGACCCATATTGACCCAATTGACCAATATTGACAAATATTGGTCAAAATTTTATTATAGTTTCAAAATTTAAATTTAATTATAATTTAATTATGACTAATAGCTGTAAGTAATTTAATTAACATATTATTAATTGCACAGTATGAATATTTATTGGACCAAGTATATTTGAGCAGTTACATGATCAGATATTAACAAGTAACAAATGATACTTATACTATATGTACGAGTATGAATATTATTTATACATTATAATATATTATTGTAAGAACTTGATTTGAAACACATGAACCAAGATATAATTTTTGTAAACGAGATTGAAATATGTGCACAATGAATTAAAGAGAAAATGCAAAATTGTGGGAATCAAGGGGTGAATTTGAGAGAAACAAATGGTCATAACATTCTGTAAAGTTTTATAATCAACGAAGTTTGGTATATATTTTTATACATGGAATATCTTTTTATATATTTATTTATTTCCATATTGGTAACCTATGTCATTTTGAACTCGATCTATATTGTTTGTTGTTTTTAGAACTGGATTTAGATACTTCATCCAAGTTGTCTTTTGGGGGTAGGAAACTGTCCGACATATTCTATCGACAAGTTTATATAATGTTTTACTAACTTCGATGATTATGGCAGACGACTCTTTTCTAGTTGTGGTGGAAACGATTGTACAATTGTACCCACACCTTCATGAATTTGTGTAAGATTTTATGTACTTATATCAAATTAATAATACTGCTACAATCTGCCTTCCCACCAAATGAATATAACGTGTTTCCGTGCGTCTTTGAACTAGTGTGAGGTCAACACTAAGCAGGGAGTTATGTGGCAATCAAGTAAGCTAGGAGTGAGTTTGAGAGAAACAAATTGTCCTGACATTTTGTAAAGTTTTATAATCAACGAAATTTGATATAGATATTTTTATACATGAAAATATGTTTTTTCTATATTTAATTACTCCCATAAAATAACTAAATTATTAATTAATAGAATGGATAAAAGTAATTTTAATTATTAGAAAAACATGTGAAATTGTGACAAATTTAACATTTGTGTACCTCGTGTACCTCGTAATTAACTAATAACATATTCACAAAAGCACGACTAGAGAAGTTGTTGTCAACTTAAATAATTTTGAATTTAACTACAGTTCTAAAAGCCTAGACTTGAAAAGCGGGGATATACCATATCCCATACAAATTTAATAATTGTAATTTTTTTAAAGAAGACTTTTAGTTCAGAATTTTAAATATATATTTGAATTTAGGGTGGTCCTTAATTTGGACATTTTTGAACTTCTTTGCTCCCAAGGGCTCAAATGCTTCCAAATTAATAGAAATTTGGAATTATATAGTACGCAAATGAATTAAAAGTTTCGTATATTTATTATTAACATATGTCATAAGGTAAATTCTTGTACCACCTGTGATAGCATTTGTGAATTCAAATATTATGACACTTAAATATATGTATAAAACACTTAACCTCTAATTAAATCAATGTAGACTGTTTAACGAAATATTTATTTATCATGGCATCAACGTAATTTTGCAGCAAAATATTTATTTAATTGGTGGTGTTAACACTCAAGATATTAGTAATGATTTGCCATCAAAATTACAAGTTTGCTATCACAGATGACACAAGAATTTACTTAATGACATATGTTAATAATGAATATGCGAAACATTTAATTGGATTGCGGACTATCTTAATGTTAATATCAAGAACTAAAACTACTAGAGTTTTTTTTTAATTTGGAAGCCTTTGAGCCCTTGAGAGCAAAAAAATTCGAAAATGTCCATTTTAAGGGCCACCCTAATATATATATATATATATATATATATATATATATATATCACACTAAAGTGAGCTAATTTCAATCAGACATCGCCACTGCACGATGTTAGGTTTATCAGAGCGCGGGTTCGAACTCGCAGGGTCAATGTTATATTTTCTCCAATATTTTTTGCAATAGGAGCAACATTAACACGTTGCCGCAAATGACGGCTATAGCCATCCGATATGTAGGCAAACAACGGCATAATAATTAATAATTAATAATTTAATAGTAGTTAATAGTTTTCACTTTCAAACATACAACTTACACTCGATTTCATCTGGCAATCATAAACAATTAAAAAAAATGTGTTTCTACGCACGATCGTCAAATTAAAAGTGTGCGGCAACGTGTTAACAAACATTCGTTTTATGCAAATAAAAGCATGTGTGCCCTGTGCGTCGGAGGTGATAATTTAACCAATTGTTTTAAAAATGTTATATTCATCTGTTTTACCACATGCTCGAGCATACACGTTCCCGTTCACGTGCCTAGTTAAATATGCAAATTTGGCGTAGAGCGCCTTTGGCTTCTCGGAGAGAAATCGGGCGGTCGGGCGAAAGAACCTCCTGGAGTAGGTCGCTCCTTTGGTGTGGTTCCGGGGTGGCATACCATGGGTCGCGGAATGGGAATATTCTAAAACGCGGGGAAGAAAGACCAATTCCGTGGGTTGAGGAAGGGACCTGAAACAGCCAATCAATAACGAAATGCCTAACCCCGCAAAACTCATACCGCAAAATTTTGCACACACTAGTGTATGAAAAATGTACACATATTGCTAAGGTGTACGTCATTTCTTCTCACACGTTTTTTCAGAAGTTACGAACGCGAATGTTACGGTATCACATGCGACAACGTCTGGCCGAGACCGGGTAAGAATTATTTGCACGAAACTCGGCATAGATTGAACTGTAAAAAAATACATGTGATTACAAAGAAATATGATATATAATTATTAAAATTATATGTAAATTTATAAACAGAATTATACAAATCAACATTGTAAAACATTTTTATAAACTAGAACATCATACAAACTACATAGTCACTCAGCTTCTTGAGACACCAACTTCAAGAAGTCTGAAGAAGAAGGTGCCCAAAGATAATATAGAGGACCCTTAGAACTATCACAACTTTAAATAAAGAGAATAGTAGAATCACTTATTGAAGTGATTCTCTAACTAACCATGTAATATTTATCAGATTAATTTATGTGTTTTTGAAAGTGTGTGTGTATGTGAGAGTGAATGACATAAGCCAAATAGCTCATAGATTTGTCAAATATTCTGATTGCTATTGAAAAAAAATTAAAAAAAAAATGTAAATGTTTTTTCTTCAGAATTATGACTTGACTTGAAATATATCAAATTTCCAAAGATATTTTTATTCATATTTATGCAAAACATTTTACTTATCTAGTTTATTTGCAAGCTGACTTTATATCTCTTTTATACTGCATATAATAATTTTATTGAGCTCAACTTCAATTATTATTTGAAAAGTTACGTTTATATAAATATTTAAATTATATTTTACTTGTCAAAAAATTATGAGTTGAACTTTAATCATTCATATATCATATAAACACATTGGTGATTGTGAGTTGTATGTTGGTTTTGCGTTTTTAAATGAGTATATGAATATATAACATATACATATACATACACATACACACATATATATATATATACAGCATTTTGTTATCAATTCAATCAAAGGTCCAATTTGACTTTGAGCAATTAGTGAAAACTAAGCCAATTATGCCACAACAAATAACACATATCAAACTATCTGACTATGTTCAGTAAAACTCCCAGCTAATTCATCATTGTAATAATGAATTATATTTGGTGTTTTTCAGAAATTTGTAAACTGGTCATTTTTACCCCATAGACGGAGTAAAGTGAGACCGCCAGGGGGTAAACAGGTCTAATGTCTTATTTTAATCCTGAAAGAATTTTACAAAATATTAGGTACTCTATTCCATCAAAGCATAATATAAATTTCATGAGTGCATTTTTTACAGAGGCAATAACACTGCTGATAATTAACTTATCAGCAGAGTTGCAATAATTATTTATCTAGTTTTTTTCTTTTTTAGCTTAATTTACTTTTTAATTTGTTATTTCTTATTTTTCAAACCTTTACCATGGAAAAAGTTGAGTTGGCTCTTTTTCCTAACATACATCATGTAAGCTTTTATAGAGGTGTAAGTTTTTACAGAATTTAACAATTAATTTTTTGAGAATTCATTTTATAAATTTTATTAATTAAATAATTAATCACGTAAGTAATAAATATATAAAATAATTTTTTGACGTGTTTTGTTTAAATTTCTGTATACGTTAATTACATGTGCAAAAATGTAAACAGGAGAAATAATTTATGAAACTAGAGTAAGTTACACGAGCTTTAGCGATTTATAAAATTAAAATGTTTTACGATTTGAATACAAATTATCAAAAGCTACTTCACCTGCTAAGAGATTTATGAATCATAAATCCAACGATCGAAGCCTTAAAATTTTGCAGTATAGCTGCGTATTACTCCTGAACAAAGTGAATGTTCAGCATTAAAAATTACGATTGACGATAATCAGATATAGCATATTCAAAAGGTTATTCAAATAATTTATTCATGACAACAAAAACGATTAGACATCTATTAAAAACTAGTCCATAGTATGAGAGTATCATCAATTTCATTTCTCCATACCATGTTTATGATATATTTACCTTTTGATCTATTGTATCAATCTTGCCATCCTCGTACTAATCATCACACAATTATAATTAATTTTTTTTCAGAAATATAATACTGTTATTATTGTAATAGTTTAAATTTAATCGTTATCTAAAATTACAAATTTACGTATTACAAATATATTTTTCGTAGCTTACTAATTTTTATGTTTTAAAATAAATTAAACTATCTTTTCCATAAATTAAACAATCTTCGTTTTGATATTTTTTGAAATATAGTAGGCGATATAAATTATAACTTATA